TCGGTGTTAGAATTATTCAGCACGCACAGAGCTACTCTGTCAATCAGTTACAGGACAGACCCATAGCAGGCAAAAATGAAAGGAGTGAATAGCACACTGTGATCCAGCACAATAAGTAGGATCGGATTTAATGTATGTGGCTCTCCTTCAGAACCATGTAGACACACAGTAGTCCTCACATATCTGTGGTTTTCTGTCTGTGGTATCAGTTACACACTGTCAACTACAATTTTAAAATAATAGCTAGTATATCTGAGAAATAATTTAAGGGTTTTAAATCTGTGTACATTTCTGAGTAGCAAAATCCCTCCTCTAGACTATCTACTCTGTTTAAAAACTGTTAGTCACAGCAGGGCAGTGGTGGCACACACTTTTAGTCCCATCACTTGTGAGTTCAAGGTCAGCCTGGCATACAACATGAGTTCCAGGACAGCTAGCAATATTATACAGAAAAATCCTGTCTCAAAAAAAAAAAAACAAAAACAAAAACAAAAACAAAAAAACTTTTACTCACTTAGCTGTGTATAATCTGTGTGGCCTATATGTATACAGAGAAAAACATCAAAAAACTGAAAGTAACAAGATAATGAAACACCTTAACCCAGCACCCTTACTCAGTAAGTCTCCTTCATCTGATTTTGTGTTCTGCACCTATCCCCTAACCAGATTATTTTGAAGTATTACATCCAGACATAATCCAGATAGCATAGCAACTTATTGTTACATAAATAAAAACTGTGCTCTCACTCATAACAAGAAAAAACAAACCCAAACCACACTAGAAATGTCACTTTTCACCTCTCAGATTGGCAAATATAAAAGTATCTGGCAATATAATGTATTGGCAAGGGAGCATACATGAAAATGTGTACCTCTAAGAAAAGTGCACTTGAATAAGTCACTGGGGTCAGCGTAAACTGTGAAAATGGAGAGGCAAGGCTCTGGTTCTTTTCCTTCTCACATTTGAGATGTTAATATCATGGTGACTGCACAACTAGAAAAACAAGCCAGTGCTATCAAATGAATGAGCTTGACAACTACAACTAGCATAAGCAACAAGTGCTGCCTTACTTGACTCTGCTTGTCCACTACACCTTTATTATAGTTTGCAACAATCTACTGATCTGAGGGTACCTTTCTTTCCCTTTAAACTCCTTGAAGACAGTGCCACGTCTGACTGTTTGGTATTTAGCTTAGTGTCTGGTCATAGCAAATATTCACTCTATGTGGTATTCATTCTTTCATTCAAAAATTACTATGAGTCTAGTGGGTACTCCACTAGAATGTAAAATTATGGACCAAATAGGACAAATTATTTTTTTCTTCTCTTCTTTCTAGGTATAATCAAAAAATAAATAACCAAATACATACATAAAGCTATACATAATAAAATTTTATTAAAAAAACAAAGCCTTATAAATCTATGACATTTTTCTATATTAAATTTAGTTTTATGAATGATCCCCATAGAAGCTTCAACATCATCCAATTCTTCCTGTCCTCTTCCAGTTCAACAATTTACAGTGCAGCAGGCCTTCAGCATCTGCCTGTAATGAGCTTTTGCCTTTAGATATACACCAAATAGAGTAGTTGTCATATACAATCCAATCACCACTATCTACCTCCTCTGGCTCACTTCCTTATCCTTGACAAGTTTCAATACTTATAAGAACACTTTTTCCTTCAATGTTTTCCTCTTATTTTTGGTACTTGTGAATTACTATAGAATTTCTTCTGGCTTCTTTGATACAATAATGATATGAACATCTCATTGGCTAGATTTTTGGAAATAATCAACAGTAACGAAACAAAACTTGAAGAAATTGGTTCTAAACTACAGAGGTTGTGGCCACACTGCCATCTGTAGTTGAAGACACTGCCTTGCCTTTGACGGGAACAATAAATAGCAAATGGTTGTGCTAGGTTGGCAAGGCACCTGTCATCCTGTTAACACTTACCAAGTCAGTAAGTGCAGTGTAATAGTTGCTGAGCATTTCCCTTTACCAGTGTAGAAAAGTTTAGAAACACTACTGATAATGAAAGAACCTAAAAGATAAAATATTTCTCTATGAATATGAATAAATGCATAGTTTAGAAAATAAAAAATAAAAAGTAGGCCATCAAAATGATTTTTTTAAGTTGATGAAGAAAGTATTCTGGCTTTGTATAAATTAATGCAATATGGAATTCAACAGCCTCATTCCGTCTCCATTTCCAGCAAAATACCACACAACATTAACTCACTTTGCATAAGACAAATGGAAACGGGCCTGCAATGTATCACAACCACAATATATTTAACAAGATGGAGATGAACAATGAAACTTCCAGGGAAACTTACAGTGCTGATGCCTTGCCTCAGAGTTGCATTTGCATATAAATGTTTTAGAATAATTTATTTCATTAGGGTTAGACAGAGAATATGCATGTTGGGAATGGATAGGGATTTTGCCTATATTCCAATTTTGCTTAAGGAAAACAGATTCTTCTATCTCCAGCAATAACAGTCTTGAGATAGTAAAATAACAATAATGATGGCACTAATAATGCCACTGTGATTTTACTTCCCTCTGAAACAAATGTCACTAATATCTCAGGAAAGTTTCAACACATAAGCATCATGCATGCCTCAAGGAATAACTTGATAATGTCCTTTCTATAGGAAGCAACAATGCTAATCATTTCTGAATGACTGTGATTAACTTAAGGGAATTAAGTCTTGAGGAGTTTTAAAGCACCTTGTAACTATCAAAAACTAGCTTCCAGAGGTCAGCTCAGAATTATCAGTTATTTGGAACCCTGGTCCAAAAATTTAGTTTTTGATCTAATAATCTGTTTTACCCACAAGTGATTATTTCCTCTGTAATGCTTTATTTCATAATAAAGGATTCTGGCCAAAAATATGTAGATTTTAACTTTTATAAAAGGGAACTATGTTATACAGGAAAGAAGAAAGTGGAACATGAACCATTTGTTTGCTTCTTAGTATCCTACGTACCTTGTGTACCAAAATAAAAAGAAAGAAAAACCTTTAAGAGCAAAGAGAGAGAGAGAGAGAGAGAGAGAGAGAGAGAGAGAGAGAGAGAGAGAGAGAGAGAGAGAGAGAGAGCATGCAAACAAAAAAAAAGTCTGCTGCTGACTCATTCTTCACAGAAAACCATTTAGAATTTCCTGGGGCAAGGAGCTGACTTTCTGCTCTGCTTCTACTAATGTAATCTCCACTCCTGAATTCTGGAAACAGCTGAGGCAATTGAAGAGAAAGAGGTCAAAATCCTATGAAAGACACTATGCTTTTAGGGCAACTATAATGAGAGCTGCAGGAAAGTTATTGATCTGTGCCCTTTGCTTTATTTCCAGTATATATTACAGTAATGTTATTTCCCTATGAAAGTTCAGTCTATTCATCTGGGCACTTGAAACATCAGAGCAAATAGCAAAGCAGAATTTTAGAGTATTCATTAGCAAAGAGTCAAAAGGTCTCTGCAGAAATACAGGTACCCAGAAAAAAAAGAAGAAATGCAAAGTTCAATTCTCAATCTCTGCATTACAACATGAGTGATGAAACACGTGAAGACTGAAGAAGGCACCAATATTACACATATGCGTTGCCATGTAGACAGACACATGTGCATGACGTTTTTACTAGGCATTGTAACCACTGACCTCATCTAAAGCAGGCAGCACTATAAGGTACCAGGAGCTCCAATACTGTCAGATCTGTTTTCCAAAACCCATGTTGGTCAACCATCTGTTTTGAAGCATTCAATAACTCTAGACAAGTAGAGAGTAATTTGAACCTTTTTTATTGTTCCTTTACCAATTATAGTACTTTTGAATGAAGTTCATGAAAGAATTGTTTTTGAAGGATTTTTAAGTCAGTATCAGTGCTATTTAGATATCAGAAAATATGAATAGAATACATCAGCTTTTCCAAAACATTAAAATAAGTCAGAGGCCAAGTTAGCATTCTTTCTCCTTATTTCTGCTTAGTGTCTGTTTTTAAGTAAAAACAGCAGAGTCTCCTTAGTAGCATATTAAGAAAAGTAAAACCCTTTATGTATTACCATCTCCCACATACATACATCCAAACAAACAACAAAATTACTTTTTTCTCCTGTGACTTTTTTTCCTGGAGACCGTGTCTCCCTATGTAGTCTAAGCTGCCCATGACCTCGAGCTCCTCGTGCCTCAGACTTCTGAGCACTGAGATAATGAGTACCCACCACCATATCCATTTGCCTTCTACTCCCCAAATACATTGAAATCTTCGCTGACGCTTTCCCCCCACTGCTACTGCAGGCTTATATGCCTGGTGTGTGTCAGTCAGGTATATGGTACAAATGAAGGAGGGAAGAATGAAGAGATCATTTTACCTAACTCCTAATTTGAAATACTGCCACACAATACTGGACTGCTATTCCCCAAAACATGACCTGACAAACCTGTTCTCCCAGGGTATAATAGCCCCTCTTGGGATCTGAATACAATTGCCATGTTATCCTAGGAAACAAAAACTTGGACATTCAGGTCCTATTATAGTTTTGATGGAATGTAGAACTTTCTGATATTTTCTCATTCGCAAATAGCAACACATGATGCAGAAGAAAACAAAGACAGAGGAAAGACCACAGACTTAGGAATCAAGTAGCCATATACTCAACTCCAAGACTAGCCAGCCTCCAAACATAAGGTTGGGCTAATACTATCTCTGAGCCTCAGTTCTTATAATTATAAGATGTGGACACTAATAACTAGCTTACAGAGTAACAGTGAAAACTAAATGAAATAATATAAACAAATTATCTCTCATTCAATGTCTGTGAATATGGACAAAAAGCCTAAATTTTCTCAACAAATCAAAGAAAGACAGACAATGCCTGGTCTGAGAATCTATGGAATATAGTATTCTCAGCTCAAGAAAATAGTCTCACCTGAATAGAAGTTATTTATTCTCCACCCTAGAAATTATACAATAGAAAGAGAAGCCAACACCAGACTACCTTGGCTGGTTGTCCACCGTGAGACTCTCTCCCCTCTGATAGCCTCTGTCGGCCACCTGAGTGGTTGACCTCTTCACAATCTGCTTTAGCTCCTGTTCCAAACGCTCTTTAATGGCTTTTACTGTCTCAGGGATCTTCTTCAGTCTGGTCAGCCCCTGGATAAGAATTCCCATGAAAAGAGTGCTGCTCTCCTCTGGATCACACTCCAAGTCCTCCTTGATGTCCTGCAGGTTCATCTCCCTCACTGTGAAAGAAAAGCACACCAGAAATGTGAGGTCCGTTTTCCACACTGATTCAACAGCAAAGGAGACTAATAAAGATCACTGCTTTGATTATTCCCTTAAAGGAATCGGAGCAATTTTCTATTAAATTAAGCTACATAGTAATAGGCAGCAGTGCCTAATGCAAACTAATTAGTTACTAATGAAATATACAAGCAATTATACATGAAAATGTGTGTTGCGAGACCTAAGTCTGTAAATATGTGTCTGACTGGTTTGAATAAAGCACTGTTGGCCAACAGGGAAGCAAGATAGGTGGGACTAGGAGTCTAGGAGGATTCTGGGAAATGTAGTGAGGAGACTCCGTCATGATGTGATCCCTGGAGGAGAGAATAAAACTCTGGCATTCTCGGAAAGACAAGTCCTTATAAATATATATTGGTGATTATGGATCAATGATTAAGTCAGAGCTAGCTAATTAGAAACCATAGCAAACAGACAATAGCTTCATAATTAATATAGTTTCCTGTGTGTTCATTTGAGTTAGTGAGGCTCCGGGACCTAGGCAGGATCCTGCAACAGATGTGAATCTCCAGTTTTACGTAATTTTGACCCAAGTTCACTAACAAATTAACTACACGCTGTCTCTAAAATACTAGACATGGCGTGTCAGGAGAACTCTAGAGACTCAAACCCCAATCTCAACTTCCTACTACTAGTTATAAGTGATAAACAGAGGGAATAAAAAATGTTATGAATACATGTAGGGGGCAAAAGTACATAACTACAACAAATAAAAAAGAAATGAAGAGAAATATATGTAAGACAACATAAACATGAGGAGTTAGAGGAAAAATATAATAGTGAAGAAGTACTGAATAACTAACTACCAAGAAAAAAACATTTTTCTTCAAACATACCTGTGACTTGGCATGGTAACTCACAACATGTAATCCCAGCTACTGAGGGGCTGAGGGTTAGGGACTGAATTTCAAAGGGAGGCAAATTCCTGCCAGCCTAGCAAACATTATGATACCTTGTTAATAAAAGTGAGACAGACAGAGAAACAGACTTGTCTGTGGGGGCGGGAGTTATTATCTTTCATAGACCTTTGTTATACCAACAAAGACCTTCTGACAAGTTATATTATACGCCAAATATCCCTATACGTCTTTATGATACAGCCTTTATGCAAACCATCTCTTCTTCAAAAGGAGGAAATAGCATCAAACAGTAGTCCTTAACCCCTGTCAGAAGGTGGGGAGAATTAGCTAATGATCTGAGATCTCTGTCCCTACTAAAACTACATAATAAAAGCCATATTAGGGCTGGAGAGATGGCTCAACAACCTTGAAGACTGCAGTCAATGTTCTAGTATTCATGTAACAAGTTAGATATCTCTGAAAATGCCTGTAAGCCCTAAATATTAAAGCCAAAGACAGCACAAGAATACTACAAACTAAACCAGTATCTATTATGAAACATATTTCTCACTACATATCTATATACCCATAATGGTTCATTATTCACAGCATTCATTATTATAGAGACAACATTTAGAAGCAACCCAGGTGCTCAACAACACATGAAACAGAATAGGAAAATGTGATCTATATAAACAGTAGCATGTCACTCCACTTTAATACTAGGGAAGTCTGACACACTGTAGGAAGGAGGAATCTTGAATACAACATGCTAAGTGAAATAAGATTGTCACGAAGACAAAAACTCATGATTCGACATATAATGAGTTATTTAGGGGGTCAAACTCCTAGAACCAGAGTAGACAGTTGTTTTTCAGGGTCAAGGAGTAGTTACTTTTTAAAACCTACTGAGTTTGAATTTTCCAAGATGAAAAGAGCTATGCAGATGGATAGGGGAACTGTCTACACACACTATGAATAAACTTAAAACTACTGATTTATACATTTTAATTAACTAAAATATAAGATTAGTGATGTGTAAATTTTAACATAAAATATGCACTTAAATATGAACCAAAGGTATTTTATCAACATGCAAGACATAATTACTTATGCAAGCTCAGTCTTATGAATAAATCCTATACATGTTTATCTATGATGTCTTATTAGACTCAGTAGGCTCCCAGAAAGTAAGAGAGACCATATTCATAGGGCAATAGAGTATGTTTAATGATACAGTATTCAATAAGAATAATGTTTAATACTAATGAAATTGGAAGTATAACCCAGAGGCTTAGCCTCAAAAGATGAAAATCTAAAGACAAGTTTTTAAAAGATCATCAATATTTTCAAATGTAATATTATAAAAAATATACACTTCAGTTCCTAGTTTTGTTTTATACATGAAGAAGTAGGATACCTCAGGCCACAGAAATAATCTATCTAGCAAATCCAACCCCACAGCAAGGCAAGAAAAGTACTCAGCAACAGGGAGCCACCAATTCAGCATGGAGTAGGGGGAAGTGAAGCTGAACTACAAAAAGAGCTTTAGGGAGGAAGAAAAGTAGTGGACATTTATCTGTTCAAATGCTCTTTATAAAAGGCATGCATATGAGTCACAAACAGGACACATACAAAGAGCCACCTAGACATCATAGCTCCCTGCCCAGGGTGACTGCTAATAAGGGAAATATACTTTAAGTCAATACGGCCTGCAATGACATAACATATACCTACATATATGCACACTAATGAGTGCTGACTCATTAAAAAGCAACACATAAACAAGATTTGAATAATGAAATGCCACAGCCATAAACAGCACATCTGTTTAAAAACTTAACTTTTTGTTGTCTCCTAAAATCTCCTAGAGCATAGACACTTAACAGATCCAATATTAACTGATTTGTATTACCTATTTCACTTACATCAGCTGAAAACTAAAAGGCAACGTAAAAGGGTAATATAACCAAAATGACAAGTCTAATATTCACAAACATCTACAAGATCAGATAGCATTACTAGAAAAAAAAATTGTTCAAAACGAATTTAACTGAAATTTAATAAGGCTTCACACATCAATCAGAGCATAACCTGTGCATCTTTCCAAACTCCTGATGTCCACATCATCCCAAGCACCTGAATTGTGATGGTGGGTACCCAGTAGATAGTATTAGACATTTTAAAGCTAGAAATATATTACTTCCATCTCCAATTCTCTTACCCTTGATTTTCATTTTGTTCCAAAGATCCTAACAACTAAAGGATAAACCAAATGTAGTTTTAAGAATCTTGCTAGTTCAAGGCCAGGCTGGACCAACAGCCTTCAAAACAACAATACAGAGAAACCCTGTCTCATAAAACCAAAAAAAAAAAAAAAAAAAAAAAGAATCTTGCTGCCTGGTAGGATAATGTAACTAGTATAAGACTGGGGATGACTTTTACCTTATTTGTCCTACACTCCTGCTTTGTTTATACAGACCTTGGCAGATACAGACAGTGGTAGATGAGGGCAAACATAGCAGGAGGATCTCACCTGACTGGATTCACATAAACTATGCCTCTATTTACATGGCTTAGGGCCACAAATATGCATACCTGTATCATACACAGCACATTTCTAAAATTAGCAGATAAGACCCAGGCATGACAGTACACACCTGAAATAATCACCAGACGAAGACCACCCAGGGTATACAGAAAGAAACTGTCCCACAGAAATTGAACAAAAGACTAACAAGTAAACAAGGTGAATAATCTATTCAAGATGATAAAAACTTTTGTTTAATGACTCTGCAAATGAATATAGAAAACAATCTAGACTATCAGGCCATGGCTGCATTCTTTCTTCAATATTTAATAAAATAGAATCAGCAATTTGTATCATGGCTTACCACACACATCACAAAACTGCAGAAGACAAGGCCCTTTAATTCACTGTTGAATATGCCATATCATATCATTTAGCACTACTGCTTGTACATGTTCATTAGGGTATGATACGATGGCAGTGTTCACTATAGGAAGTCTTGACATATGTCATTCATTATATTATGTACAATATACAAACTATACAAAGTTAATATACAGTAAATGAGTTCAAGCTATGTAACTTGAATTACATGTTATAATTAAACAATATTAGCTCTGCATAAGAAAAGAACTGTTTGCCAGCATTGAGCAAAACTAATATAAAGAGAAGCCTTTGTAACAACAATTAATTTTAAAAAGGGGTCATGGATTTGAAAGAAAGAAAGGAGGGTGCACAAGACAGTTGGGAGGGGAGAAAGGGGAAATGATGTAATTACATCATCTCAAAAAATAAAAGAAGTAAGAAAATTAAGGAGCCTTTGAAAATGTTGTCAAGCCTAATTATACCACTAAAGTATCAAACAAATTACCTATCTACAATTCAATACCACAGATGGGAACCTGGCAATAATGACAATACTCTGGAAAACAGTAAGAAAATCGCCACTAAAAAATAATTTGTGTGCCTCAAAATCACACTATAATTCATATTACTGAAATACTCATTTTTCTTATTACATAATTACACATAAAATATAATTCCTGAAATTGAAAGGAAATAGTCTGGTTCAAATACAGAGTACCATAGCTGAAGACAAGAGACATGAGCAACGAATGGAGGCAGGGTGTGGAGTCAGTGATCTCCTGATGGAAAGACAGACAAGAAAGCTAGGGTTGCTCCATCTGTTTAACTGGCCTAAGAAACACACTCACTTACTTATGGGTGCCTTAAGCCAGGAGCAAACCAAGCCCCTACATTGGCTAGAAGGCTACTGGATCTCCCCAAATTCCCATCCTCTATTCTTATCTCTGTGGAAATTCTTGAACAAATATGTATCTTAGATATCACTCCTTTCACCAGTAGAAAATGACTTCTTCCATGTTTTGTTCTAATTAATACACCCACTGGTACAGAGGAGAACAGTAACTGAAGCACTGGTTGCCTCTGGAGTACAGAATCTTGATTAGGGTCTTTCAAATGTTAACTAACTACCCCTGGAGTGTAGATTCCTGATTAAGGTACTTCAAAAATGTTAGCTAAGAACCCCTAAGGTGCAGATTAAATTACC